GGTATATATATACAATGGAATATTACTCTTTTGCAGCAACTTGGATGGAGCTGGAAAAGATCATGCTTAGTGAGATAAGCCAGAAAGAGAGAGAAAAATAGTGGATGGTTTCACTCATAACAGGAGTATAATGGACGAGGAGAGAAAATAACAAGAATAATGAACAGCCATATACCAGAGACATTTTGTGAGGGTGGAGTGGGGAATGGGATCAAAAATGAGGTGGTGGGGAGGGAAGTGCACGGGATTATGTTGGTGGCACACGGGCGACTTGGTGATGGGAAACCTGCAGGGATTACAATTGAGATGGGAAAAAAAATGTACAAAATGATGTAAAAATAAACTGTTATTTTAAAAAAAAGTACTTTTTGAAATCAATTATGTAAGTATTTCAGTCAAAATGTTTTTGGAACACATAACTTAGAAAATTATTTTAATTTGTTTTATTCAAGTAATCTACTCAAAGATTACGATAATTATGTCCTTACTATAAAAACACATTGAATAGAAATCTCTCTGAAGATTTTAAGATAGCCAGAACACACTGGACATGATGAAGGCTCTCAGGAATAAACCTATAGATTTCAAGCTTCCATGAGTCAGTTTCATTTACAAATTCCTATTTACTCTAAGAAAGTCCAATATGACCTCTTTATAGAGAATGTTTATAGCGAATATCCCTGGGCTATCAACCCTAGCATTTCACCTTGGGTTCATAAATCACCTGTGCAGTGTGGAAAGAACAGGCTTACCATAAGCTGAACTAAGTAGAATGGAGGCCAGAAAACCAACACAAAGTACGTAGCCTCAATAGATTCAGATTCTGAAAACCCAGATATACTGAGCTCACAGACCTGACTTTTAAGATTCTAGAAACTTATAAGGAACCAAGGTGTGTTTGCTTTAATGGTACCCCACATAAAATAGACATCAATGGTCACTGAGGCCATTCTCTCTTCAGAAGGGGAAGAACATGCCCTAACATGTTCTCTAGTCCACAAGCTTGGTGATCTCTATAAAGCACAGATCTAATCACATCACTCACTTGCTTACAACTCTTTACCGTCCTTCACTGTTTTTAGAATTAATTCAAAATGCCTTTCTGTGGGTACCACTTCCTCTAGGCTGACTTCAGTTTCTTTCTCTGTCCTCATTTTTGCCCACTCCTCCTGTTGCACTAATACTCTAATCAGGACCTCGGTCCTGGTCTGCAATAGATGTTGGAAGCTCAGGTACATTCACCGCCTCATCTGCAGTCTCATCCGTAAGAGCAAAGATTCCAGTTATGCTGTTCATGCTGATCACATTAGTGCCTATCTCATGCCTGAGGAAGCTGGTGCCCAATATGTTGGGGGAGCAGGAAAATAGCAAAGAGGAAGGGAAAGGCTTATCTAAGAACAGGCTAAATGTAAAAATATTTTTTTATAATGCATGAGTTTGAATGACATGATTTGAGGCCACTCAGATTCTTCTAGAATCTACCCATATGGGATTTAATGTCCCACCTAGCCTCCATTTGTTTGCTTGTTTCTTTTCAGGCAAATAGCAACAAAACACAATTCTGACATAAGCAGTGGTTGAGATCACTCCATTTCTCAGAACTTTAGCATCATCATAAACCAAATTATTATGGAAAGATTATGAAGATTCAGAGTACATAACCAACCTTGGGTGGTCTGTGGGGTTTTCTTTCTTCTTCCTTTTTTTTTTGGTTATCTGTACATAAACTTTTAATGCAGAGGATTCATTCTTTTTACCTGATTTTTAAAATAGAACTTTTAGCACATATGAATCTACACCATGTTAAAAAACAGAGACCAAAAATTACAGCTCTCTATTGAGGACAATCATAACCATGGCAACAGCATATAGGTGAGGGGGCTGATAATATCTTGCCCCCCTCATTTTATGGTCTAGAGGACAAAGTATCATCACTGATCTAGAAATGGCCCCCAAATTCAGTTTAATGTGGAAATTATGACCAGAGCATCTGCATCATGCCGAGAACTGTGTAAGGAAAATTGGAAGAAATATAAGAGGAAAAAATATATGTAAAAACCCAAAATATGACATGCTTCTTGGGCAACATTTCCTTGATTTTATATTTGCAAATTCAGTTCCCTTTCTCATCCATTTCTCAGGAATCTGAATACTTCTCTTTGAAAGACTTTATCTTTCCTGGATTATACATTTATGCTATCAAAAGCTTCCAGTTATGACCATTTTTTAATTATAGTCAACTTTTGTTGTCTCTAAATTTTCTACTTCTGTACTCATGTTAATAAAAATAATAAAATCACTATTTTTCAATATGATCTCTAAAGTCATCTTAACCTCAGAACTAGTTAAATAGCTTGCACACCAACACCTAGAGTAAAGCCAGATCAGCAGGGTAAGAGATACTCATGCTGTTTTCTTACTCTAGATGAGTTCATCTTATTGATGCTTTAGTTTATTTAATAAATATTCATAGAATGCTTATGGTGCATTAAACATTTTTGCAAGCTTTGGGGTTATGATGATGAGCCTGCACAGATAGTATTCTTGCCCATTCAGAGTTTAATATTTAAGGAACGGAAGTCATCAACCAAGCACAAAATAAGGATGGGTTCAGCTGTCAAAATATGTAGAGTTGTCAAATATGACCTTTAAGATAGAATTTAAAGGTTTTTTTGTACCCTGTATTTATTTAACTCTAGAAAGTCCTTATTTATATTCATTTTTCAATGAATAAAATCAAGCAAACGATCTTTCCTACCTTATTCCTTTGATTTTTTAGACACCAAGGGAACTTCTGCAAATATTAGAATTCTAGAGTAATGCAGCCTTTTAACATTTGCACTGCTGTATTTTAAACCTCAGAAGGACAGAGATTATGGGAAATGACAAAGTGGCACTTAACCTCTCAGTCAAGTTAGGTGATCCTCATACTCCCTGATGGTTCAAATCAAAGTTTGTCACAAGTGCTGTCTACACACAGTATCCTGGGTTGGGAGTGAGCAGATCAAGGCAAAGAATGGAGAATCCTAAATACACAAAAGCCACTTGGGGCAATGCTGAAGACCAGGTGAGGCCGGGGAGCACTTACTGGTAGGTGGTAGGACTGACATTGATGCGTCGGGGGTGACTTCCAGATTCGAATTTGCTGGCCAGTGTGACATTGTTTCCAAAGAGGCAGTATCTGGGCATCCTCACCCCAACGACGCCAGCTAGCACGGAGCCCGAGTGAATGCCTATCCTCATCTAAAAAAGAACAAAAGAGGAAGAGGACATATTTAAGCTTCATTCTGTGATTATTTGAATGAGAGATACCTGTTAGTTATGTAAACATTAAACGATGAACTCCTCAAAGATAGCCTTGTCATTTCTGGGGAGCAACTATCTGCACCACTCTAGTGCCTGGGAACATGATGCTGTGGAATGAAAGAATGACTGAATGGATTAATTATAGATTAAAATTGGTTTAATCTGAAATATATATCTGGTTATATTACACGTTAAATTAGTTTCATTTGCATATAATGTGCTCTAACACCTAGAGAGTATATTATTCTTCTTTCAGTTATTCTCACATAAAACTGTTTTCCCATTGTAGCACTTAGCACAATTATAAATTAAATATTTAAATGTCTGCTTGTTTTGTTTAAATGTTGAAATTCCCCATGAAAGCTCCATATATATATATTTTCTTACTGCTGAATAGTCAGCACTTAATACTGTAAACTAATGGCACTCAACAGTAAGTGATGAATATTGAATAAATTTCCTAAATTCCCTTACACAGCATTAAAATGGAGATTCAAGACACTGCAACCTTTGACGTAATCAAGAAACATCAACTGAAAAATCCTGAGAATTAAATTCATGCTGTTCTACATTGTGCCAATCTGGTATGTAAGAGTCTGGTTCATTCCTTGAAAAAAAAAAAAAAAAAAAAAAACTTCAATGTACAGGGAATATATTCACGATAGAGTAATGACCATAAAGTGATCTCAGGACAAGTTACACCAACATGGTCTACGCCAAAATAACTGAGGCTAATGGTAAGCAAGTGAGAGACAATATCCTTAGTTCCAGGGCAATGTGTGTGACTGGGAGAGTGGGATTTGTCCCTAAATGCCCTCGTGAGTCATCAAGAATCACCCCTTCACTACCATGTCTGCCTGTCACAGCTGTGAGAATGTCATTCTTAGAACCACCCTCATGCAGAATTGGAGATGTCGGCATTTATCAACCCAAAACAAAAGTTGAAACCAGCATGGTCTAGATGCAGCTTCTAGTAACCTCATCGTTTACTATCTAAAAACTGATTTGAAAACTTTTTGGTAATTTAATGTACTAGGAAGAGGCAAGATACACTTGAGAAAGAAGAAATAATATTGAATAGTGTCTCTACCAGATAATAAGTTTAATGTAAGCATATCTAGGTAGCATAATATAGGTACACAGCTACATAATCACAGAGCACAGAAAGGCCCCCACGACTGAGAACCAGCATGTAAGATTACAGAGCAAGAGGGTCTTGCCTTCAGAATTCCCCAGACCAATTGTTTTCAACTTCTAATCTAAATTCTAATTCTAAATTCAACTTCTAGATCTTAATGCAGAAATCACTAAAAACTTTACAGCTTTAAAAATCATTGTTTTTAGGGCCCTCCCCAGGGACGCAGTGGGTTAAAATGCAGCATTAAGAAGCTAAAGCTACCTCAGCATGAGTTTGATCCCCGCTCAGAAGGTGATGGCAATAGATCTCTCCTGACCCGCCCGCTGCTCCTCTCAGCAGTGTACTTCAACAGTGGGCCTGTTCTGCTCCCCATTCTGTCTCTAGTGAATCCTCTCACCACCCCTGCACCTCTGGCCTGTACCCCAGTTCTGAATGCACAAATATTTTTTTTAAAAAATATTGTTTTTATTAAGCTAAAAATCAATCTGTAATATTAACAAAACCCCAAAATACACAGTGGGTGGACTTAGTCTCTCAGCTACAATGTCGCTGGATAAAGCGCTGTTCCCCTGGCCCACCAGAGACCAAGTCACCTCATGCTGCATTCTCTCCTACCTTGGGACATATGCTTGCTAAAACCAGAAGCACCCCAATGCTCTGACTCAGGGTGTGACAAGATACACCACACAGCAGATAGCCAATGGAGGGTCAGTTGACTTCATCCTAGCTGTAGACCCAGATTTCCACCTGCTACCATTTCCCTTCTGCCTGACCGATTGCATTTCAGATAACTGTAGCTAGACAGACAGACAAAGTCCTGCAGGTCCACTGGTGATTTCTATCTTTAAAAAAAGGTTTTATTGTTTCCTATGAGAGATCTGTGGTCATTTTAATTTTCCACTTGTGACGTATTTTTTCTTCTTCTAGGTGCTTTTCCTTTTTCTATTTATTACTAGCTTTGAAAAGTTAGTAGGACTCTTGATATTTTCTTCCTCTCTCTTGTGAGTAGGTTTGTTGGGTCTCTTGGATTCTGTGAGTTTTACAGTTTTCACCAAATTTGGAAAAGTTGTATTATTTCTTCAAATAGTTTTTCTCTTCATCCCTCGGTCTCAGAGACTTCAATTACATATGTATGAGGATGCCTGAAATATTTCCACAGCTCACTAATGAGCCATTCATTGAAAATAATTTTTTGCTGTTTGTTTGGTATAGCTTCCATTGCGATATCTTCATATTTACTTTTTTTTAATAATGTGTAATCTCTTATTAATCACATTCATCTCAGATACTGTGATTTTCCTCTCTAGAAGTTCAACTTGGAATTTTTTCTTAACTCTGGTATTGAATTAAATTTGAATTAAATTTTAACATAGATAACAGTTCAAATTATTATTTTAATATTTTTTCCTGCAAATTCTAAAGCTGTTCACTTCTGTATCACTTTTGATTGATTTTTCTTATCATGGCAGGTCATTTTTGTCAGCTTTTCTGTATGTCTAGTGATTTGAGGTTGGATTTCAGGTAGAATAAGTTGGATGGGCATTTGTATATTCTTGAGCTTTATTCTTGGGATGAAGTGAAGTTACATGAACCAATCTGTCTCTCCCAAGTCTAGTTTGTATGGAAAATGTGCTGGGCAGTTCTAGGATGGAGTGGCATGTATGGTTCCTTGCTCCCTACTGCTGAGTTCTGTACCCAAAGTCCATACTACGTGAGATTTCCCAGTCTTTTTGATGGGAACACACATTTTTTTCTAAGTCCCTGGTGAGTGCCAGGAGCTGTCTCCTTTATTCCTTTCATATTAACCCCTTGCCCACCCTCAGGGCTCAGGTAGTTTTCATGCATAAAAGCCATAACCAGCACTAAGAGCTACAGAACACTAGCAGGCCGAGGGGCTGTTTTTGTGTGACTCTCTTCCCTGGGACTTTTTCTAATGTCTACCTCCTCATCTCTACCCAACTCTCAGCTCTCTCTTTCCACCATGGTGTGGGTGCCTCCTGGTTTTCCTTCCCCTGAACCAAAGTCCATATGTCTGCCAGGGCAAGAAGTCAAGAAAATCAATCATCGCATCTCACTTCTCCCCTATCTCGGGGCTCACTGTCTTCCAATGGCTAGTCTGTGTCACTTAACTTTTGTGTATTTTTATCCATATTTTTAATTGTTTAAAGTGGAAGTTCTACTCCATATTGACTGAAAACAGAAGTGAGATCAATTCTTTTGAAAGGAAATGTGAAAAAAAAAGGGCCTATTTCTTATGAGAGATTGTCTATTTTGGATTTAAAGGCAAAAAAAATGTTGAATGTTAATATTCCTTTTAAAAAGGTAAGTGTAAAGTATCTTTCTCTAAAACTAGCAGAGCATTTTGCAATGTTATTCTGTTCACATGGGTCTCTCTGCTTCCAGAAGGCCTTTTTATATTAAATTACTGTGTATATCATAGGCTCACCTGAAAACACCCATTCCTTAGGTGCTGAGATGATCAGTTTGGGCCTGTGGTGATACAGTGATATTTCTAAACAGGAGGAAAGTGGAAGGGAATATCATGTTAACATATTTCACAGCCCCTTCACCCTGTGCTTTCTGCTGGAAGAAATGACACCTCATTGCACAGCAACTATACAGAGGATTAATGTAGCTCCACCTATGCCTCCTGTTGAAAGAACTAAAACCGTTTCTTTTTAAACTAATTGTCAGATAAATTCCACGATAAGCTTAAAGGGGGAGAAAGAAAAATGGTCATTAAAACAACAACAAGCCTTAATAGTCATTAAGGCTTATCTCTTAGAAAGTCACCTAAAAGTGCTCAAGAATATCAACCACCACAAATGCAGCACCAATTCCATGACTGTCACTCCTATGACAAACAGAACAGGACACAGAGTTGTGTGGTCTTGAGGAGATAACGCTGGGAATAATGGTGACAGCAGGCCTTTTCTTCTTTATTTCTTCTGACAATGACTTACTGAAATTTCCCAGGAAAGTTCTAGATAGGAAAGTCAGTTTGTCTAAGTCAGTATACAGGAGCATCCAAGCTAGAGAAAACAGAGATTTAACTCTCAAGGAGGGATTGAATTTCATCTGGGTAAGATTTAACTTTATTTAAGTGGGTAATCAAGCAGATAATATTTGCCTCTATTTGATGACTGTGTCCTAACTACAGAGGTTACTTGGCACTAAACCAGTTGTCAATTTGGGTCGTCTATGCCCCTCAGTGGATATTGTTAATCTCTTGAGACATTTTGGGTGTTAACTATTGGAATGAAGAGCTGCTACTGGCATCTGTTCATTAGAACTAGACATTCTGAGTAGAGTCTCCCCACCACAAAGAATATTCTAGATCAAAATATCAATTGATACTTGTTATTAACACCAAGGTTGGAAAACCTTCATTAAATAGGCCTCTGGCAATCTATAAATATTTAGTAAACCAACAACAAAAAAAATATTTTAGTAAATACCAAAAATTCTATCAAAGTTCTAATGGATAACACTGGAGCTCCTCTAACCCCCCCCCCCCACTTTTTAAAGATTCAGTTAATGAGGAAAATAAAGCTTGTTCTAGGGATTTATTTTAAAACACAGTAATGTTATATATCCTGAGGTTAGCTTATCTATTACCCATTCTTCTTTATTTATGGAGCATATGAAATAATGCAGAACTCGGGTACACATCAAAGTTCTCAGTTATCAAAGGATTCAATTATTCTTTTAATATCCTACTGATTATTTATTAGCTCAGACTCATAAACAGCTGCATTTTTAGAAGCATTCCTTAGACAAATCCTAAAAATAGAAGGCT